GCTGTCACCAAGCTAAGGACATTGTGATGAAAGCTTCTTACTGTCACACAAGCCTCTGTAACAAGTGATGTATCATGAGATTGAACTGATGACCGTTTCGTCTTCTACGTTTTAAGTGTGCGTCTTTGTCCTTTTCTATGTCTGCGGGAATGGGAGGTTGGCTCATCACCTTGCAAACTTCGGCCCTCACTGTAGAAGCCTCCTTGAGTGTTCCCGTTGTCCTGGTTTTGTTTTCGTCTTGTGTTACTCAAATTAAAAAGAAGTAACAAGTGATATTGCAGGATTCACACCTGTCTGAACTGTCATTGTGGCTGCATGTGATAAACAATTACTGAGGTCAAGGATGCTCAGATCAGGCCTGTTGTGATCAACAAAAGGCAATCGCTGTGGGTTGTTACAGACTGTTGTACGTTGTATATGTCATGTCAGAACAACTTCAACAAGTACGTAAGGGTTACACAGGAACAACATATAGGCACTGGACCAGGTAGACACCACAGGTAAAGTTTAACATGTAGATTATTATGACTGTTGTCACACAGAGCCTTGGTATAAGCGATAAACATATGGATAAAGACATTGCAGGATTGGACTGGTGAGATTTACATGTACCTGTTTTCTGTCACAAAATGAGGGCAATTTTATGTTATTCACGTCCAGTACCTAACAGGCAAGGACATTCTATACATAGAAGCTCCTAATGCTAACAGCAAGGACATAGAAGCTCCTTGCTAACAGCTGATGTTTAGGTACATGTATTCAGACCTGTTGTAGTAAAAATATTAACATGATAGATACAGATACAGTAAATACTTTACAGTTGCTTATGTGGGGTGCATAAATAGAGCAGACTGACTTGTCTGTATATTACTATCTGGAAGAAAAGGATTTCGATCAGGTGCAGTTGAGAAATGTTGTTAGTTATGAAGTTAGTTGGATGTGAACAGATGGCAGATTGAGCCAGATCACTTCAGTAAGAACGTTAATCTCTGTCAGCTTGTGTAAAATCCCCAGTAATCCACCTACAGGTAATCCTGGGTAATCCACCTGCAGATTAGTGGGGGCCCGCATGCCCTTTTCCGTAGAGCGTAATCAGCCGTTTTAATTCCGCATAGAGCGTAGACGGACCACTCTAATTCAACGTAGAGCTTGATTGGCGAATTTTGCGTAGAGTGTAATTCGCCTTTTTGATGAGTTGTAACCACTTGAAATTTATCGTAAAGCGTAATCGCTACTGTAGCGTAGTACGTAGTCAATGCTCAATGTTTAGCATAGAGCGTTGTCAGGACCCCCCATGCAGGCCCCCATTAGTCCCACTGAGCAGATTTAGCCTGCCATAAGTACATAAAGAAGTCGTGATCCAGTTAGGTCGAACTCTGATGAACAGCTGAGTTAGGCTCATGCTGAGTTAAAACTGGAGCGTCATTAATAATTCTACCTCTCACATTGTTGTACACAAATTCACACCGTAATCTTATACAGAGCACAAGTATCAACTTAACACAACATAAATCAACATAACTAGTACATACACATGTATCTATGATGCCAGTAAATACATGCTTGACAATGATTAATGTACAACAGAAATAGTAGCTATTAAACTTTATTGATTAATGTGAATGTTGTTAAGATGATGGAGTGAATACTCCCTGCTATAGTGTTTGTATGATAGTGGTGCAATGTTTGTCACACCTGCTTTGGGACTGGGGGTCGGGGGTTTGAATCCCAGTTGTTCATTCAACTCGTTTTTACTAAAAGCGTTTTAAACTGTGGACAGGAAATTTTCTTGTTACTACA